CTGATTAATTCATGACATCTTAAGACTGTACTTAAGGCAGTCTTAAATATAAGAATCGGCTACGAATATTGTCCAATCTTATTTTAAAATCACCTTATGTAATGTCTTAAAATGCTAATACGATTCTCTGATTCATGACATTTTAAGACTGTACTTAAAAGTCCTGAACAGTCTTGAATATAAGAATTGACTATAACGACTTAAAAATCTTTTTGAGCTTTGAGAATCCTAACAACATGCTTAATTTCGATTGCAATAAATCTTCTCCAGCATTAGATATCATATTGTGATACGACAAAATATGTAAAAATAGTTCTTTTTTGCAACTTTAAATTTTCAATTTTTTTTAAATTGTGATGTAGAATCATTTGGAAGCCGAATTCGTAGTTCAGCGTTCAAAACATTACGATAAATGCCTAGTCTTGTTCTAGTATTTTTTTTTGTCAAACAGTGTAATAGCTAATAGATAAAATATAATAGTTAATAGAAATGAGTGACCGCTCGCTCATACATATTTTCGTGAAGGTAATCGAGAAGAGAACGCACGAAAATTGCTATTCATTATTTTTTTCTGCGATTACTTTCTGATGATCTTTCTCGTCGAACGTTTCTCACGATTTATATACGACTTGTGCGTGCTTTGTGTTATGCTCCGTTCATCTTCGCTACGTAAAACCTCTTAAGGAGACAGAGAGTGACATATACATATATAAATATATACATATATATATATATATATAATTATTGTAAAATAATGTAATGTGACTTTGAAGACGTAGGTAAGAGTCCAAAAAAAGATTCTTTACGCGTAAATAGATACACATTTATTAAATAATTGTCTAAATTATTTCTATTCTTTCAGTTACTCTTTACGATATATTGTAAATCATAGATGGGAAATATAAAAAAAAACATTTCTTACTTTATCTTGATAAATGTTTTGATGAATTTATGTAATCGATCTTGGCAGATAGCCTAAGTGATAATTTTTAACTTGTATGAAAAGAAATTTTCACGAGAGAAAAATCAAATTCTGGGAAGAGAATTTATTACTAAAATTAAATTGCTGTGGTACATCTTGTACCTCTTATGACCATTTTACACATTACGATAAAAATGAACAATGATCTTTGTACGTGTGTGTGCGTATGTGTATGAATAATGTCAAATACAAAACAGTAATCCTTTGTATATCATTAAAGGTAATATCATTACTTTTAATGATTATATCGTCATTCGATGAAAAAAATTATTTTATTTTTCATTGAATACTAAAAATAACTTTATTATAATATTTTGGAAAACTTTCGACATCGGTTATTAGATTCTGAAATCAAAAATAGAGTATTCCATTTAAAATAATCGACGTGACCTTGTCCTAATCTTGGCGACACCACCTAAAGACAAACTGATAAGATCAGTAATAAGTAGAGTAAGAGTAAATAGATCTTTTTAAACCCAACAACTTTTACGATTGAACCTTATCCTGCGAAAATAAAGTGATATACGAGTGATCTGAAACATCCGATATATAAACATGTATAAACATACATAAACATGCATAAATATTTATAAATATATATAACTATATATGAAATGTATTCATGCATGTTTATATTACATTCTTCTTTTTTTGTAAAATTACTTTTTAGTGCACTTTTTAATAATAATAATGAGAAAACATGAAAAATAATTAAAGGGATAATTTTCGCATTGTTTATTTTAGAAAAAATCAAGTTTGAAGAAAAGTAAAAAAATTGCAATATATATGACTATGTATTATATAATTTTATATACAATTGTATATGAGCAATCCTTTTATATTTCATCAAACTTGATTTTTTCTTAAAAAATTAGAAAATTATGCTTTTGACTATTTTTATGTTTTCTTATTATTATTTTTAATACATTAAAAAGTAATTTTACAAAAGAAATAAGGATATATTATGAACATGTATAGACATATTTCAATTATGTTTTTGAATATTTATGTTTATGTAACTTTACACATATTTATATAATTATATATTCATGTATGAAAAATTTTTTTACCGGGAAGTTAAAAGTAAATTTTTTCAATGTATAATAATGCATTTTAACTGCACATAATTTTACATGATTGTTACTTTAAGTAAATTTAATATTAGTATAAATTAATAAAAGAATATTGCGTCTAACAATTCATAAAATTTTGTGAAATTTTTATTGCTTTTCCGATTTGATTGGGTGTACAAGTCGATAAAGCGGCTAGTCTACTCGCTAAGTAAATGACCTTCATTGATTACTTATAGATCACATTCAATTGGTCAACGAGCAGGGCCCCTATTCTCAAAAAGTATCGCATACGAAAAACTAGAGAAATATCATATTATGCATTACATATATTATAACATTTCTTTAGTTTTTTCTATGCGATATTTTTCAAGAATAGAGCCCCAGACTAGTCGCTTTAGGGAAAATTTTATTTGTGTTTTTATCGTACGATAAATATTTCAAGCCTATTGATTGGCTATAGGACAGAAAGATCCGAGGATCTCTCTATTCTGTACACATTTGTTGTATGACAAAAACGCACAAATGAAATAGCAATCAGTCTGAAATGAGTCTAAGCATAAGCTATTAGATATATAGATATTCGTATTCACCATTTTGATTCTTTTTGATTGGCTGCGTTCAGCAAAGAAAAGTAATCAGTTAGCGCTTAGTGATTCTTCAATATAATTGGTTCCTACACTTAGATCCAGTGAAGAACTAAAGGCAAGAAGTATATAAAAGTATATTAAAGAATCATTAAGCGCTAACTGATTAGTTTTCACTGTTGAACGCAGTCATTGATAGGTCATAGTATGATAGAATTATATAAGAAAAACCATTGCGCATAGTGGCGGAGTTCGACCAATCAAAATTGTACTAATTTGCAGAACGAATCATGAATTTCTATAAATGAATTCAAAAATTGATTGGTTGACGGATCTCCCCACTACTTTCAATCCACTGCGCATCCGTGGAAATGGTTCACCTTATTTTTTACACCATGATTATAGTACGATTAGTGACAAAGGTAAATGTTAGAAAGAACCCAAGTTTTGATAAAAATATACGCTATAAAAAACGGTATAACTCAACTCAACTTACACGTACCAGAGTTCTATATTTATACGAGAAGCGCGATCGACCTATGTTAGTATCGTAAAAATAAAAAATACTAAAAAATAGAAGAAGTACTAAAAATGGGTCGTCCACGTAATGGCTTCTGCATACTGGACGCGGAAACGCTTGTCGCGCGGCAAAATGTGATGCAGTAGCCAAAGTCTATGGAGCCTTGATGCCCATATCCAATCAGAGGAGACGGTCACGTGATGCAATTTGTCACTCTCTCCCTGTGAGGCTCTCTAGTCCGCGTCGTTTGCAAGACAGACTATGAAGTTTACCAATCATCCATTATGCAGCCATTTTTAGTGCACAGAAATTAGTTTCTCATTGGCTGTTAATCACGTAATTGCGATAACCAATCAAAATACTTAACATCAGTCGCGCTTTTCTTACAAATCTAGAACTCTATATGGCTCATTCATGGTTCCTGCACACTGGACGCGGAAACGCTTGCCGCGCGGCAAAATGGGACGCAGTAACCAATGAACACATTAGGAGCTGAAGGCTTATTGGCTACCGCATCGCAATTTGCGCGGCACCAATGAGATACTGAGTGCTTTTCATTTGATGACACAGATCAACATAAGCGTTGTTCTATCCTTCTTAACATTCAGAGAGTGATAAAGATGGAACGATACTTGCGTCGACTTGTGTCATCAAATAGAAAGCACTCACTATTAAAGACAGTCAGCACTTATGGAAGTTCGCGTGCCTGCTAAAATTTAAGTGTTTGAGAATAAGGAACTAATAATACAGTACTAATTTTATGATTTATTAGTTTCATAGATATGTGTACATATGTTAAAAATTTAATAATACTCGATTTTTATTTAAAACTGATTTTAATGCCATCATTCGAGTTGATTATCAATAGAGATAATAACTGCAGAGAAAAAATTGTAATTTTTCGGCAATATATAAGATATTATAGCATTAAGTGTGTTAAATAACACACTTATTTATACAGAATTTATATAATAAAAAAACAAATTTAATAATGTATTAACAAAATATTTATATTAATAATCATAAATTTTTATTAATTGCCGGTAACGTTATCGTTTTTCAATTATCCTTGGGCCCCCCGGGTCCTATTGATAGTCACGAAAATTTGCTCAAGGTTCAATTTTTAACAGTGTCCTAGTTTCCACTGAGAGGGTTTAAACCGGATTAGAATGTAAGAACCAACTACAGTCGAGTGTTCCCCTGTTACAGTCTAACGACAGGGGAATGCTCGACTGTGGTTGGTTCTTACATTCTGATCCGGTTTAAACGCTCGGTGAAAATTAAGCTGGTGTCGTTAAAAGGTTTCAGACGCATGCGCGATATCCATAGCTTTAGTAACGTACCGATCTCTAGTAAATAGAAGATCATTAGTCGCTTAGAATTGAAAATGTTGAAAATTTTAATATATATTTATATATATTATATATATATATATACATAGGGCAAAAACCTAACCTAACCTACACATATGTAAAATATATAAAAATTTTCAATATTTTTGAAAAAATTTTACATAGATGACTAATGACCTTCTATTTATTAGTGATCGGTACATTATTGAAGCTACAAGATATCAACCATGTAATTTTTTACTGCCCTATCACTTTTCCTAAGTCAACCAAACTCACTTCATTTATTGATAAAACTTTTTCGAACACTCCTAGAGATATCTTTTCCTTATTAAAGAAACCTGTCAAAATGTGCCGCGTTGTACTGACTTTCTTCAAAGCCACCAACCTCCACATTTGAACTTCTCCCGCCAGACCTGTATCTCGCGGGCGCTCTCGGGGGAGGGTAATAAAACAGTGATACCAACGTAGTACTTCCATGCTACTCACGATTTAGCCTACTCGCTACTCGTTTGGAGCGGCTATCTTGTTATTGGCGTATCGACTCCATGGTACAAATCGGGATTATTCATTAGCGAAGAAGAAGTAGGAGCTCTGGTCTTTAATAGTATCTCGTCGGTGGCTCATGTGACATGTGCATGTTAGTGAGAGTAGATGTTTCTAATTAACTATCATTGTTCTTTGATATAGGTTATATGATTTTTACGCACGCACACACATAATCCCCAAAAATGATTAAAAAATTGTTGGAACGATGGTTTATAAGAAACAAATTACAAAACAAACAAGAAGCCATGAACATAAAACGAAAACTCGCGATAATTTACGCTATCGTGGGATGGAATATGTTTGGTGTTTTGTTTTACAATATTATGAAACATAAAATGCCAGAAGACTCTACAGAACGAAGTAAATCAATTTTTATCGATTTTTTATTTTGATATTTTGTTAAAGAGGATGACGGAACATTTATTTTTCGCAGGAAAATCTTATAGACTTTTAAGTGAAACATCATCTAATATGCATGTATATCAAGTAACAGGACTGACACTCACCAATAATTTTAATATTACATATGAGGACGAGATTACTCAGGAAAAAGAGAATAAGAAAAATGAAGAAGCAATTGTTAATTAAATTTAGGTAACACAATTAATAATTATTATTTTTCAAAAACCATCCAACCCTTGTGTATTGCTGCAGAATAATATGTATTATAAAAAAAGAAATTTTCTTTAGGTATTACACTATATACACATTTGTAAAATAGAGTTATCAATCATTTATTATAACGTTTTATTATAAAGCTACCAGGGAACTTTTCCTCAGTCAGTCAAAAGAGAAACAATGTATAACAATTGATTGTTAATAGACTTCTCTTTCAGGGAAGAGATCTTCGTAAAGCAATAGCACCAACATTAGAATTGCTAGATTCTGGATTTAATTCTTTCAATCTTTGTTCCATTTCGCATAGTAATGCCGATCTACAGAGGCAAAAATATACAAAATACAAAATGTAAAAATAAGATTGTACATATATTGAAGATAATGTAGATCGTCATTGTTTTAATGAATCTTATTTCTCACCTATATTCCTCATAACGCATTACAACTTCCTCCAGTTCCTGCTTGTACAGTCTGGTAAGCATAGCATTGAAACAGTCCAACTCGGGCAAACGAAACAATTCCCAACGCAGCTTGCGATCTAAAGCTATTGAGGCCCTGCTGTACACATACAACCAGTGTGGTATTTCCTCATTCAAATATGGATTGGCCGGCACCAAAACACTGTGAGAGTGAAAATGAGTATGCCGTGGTGGTGATACGACTCGCACAGCTTGCATCTCATGTGGGTAACACGGATGTTCATACTGAGCTTGGCGCGTGATGTGGCTGAGAAAGAAAGGCGAAATATTTTCGTTGTGACATATACCGATGACCTGTCGAATCCTCTTCCAAGTTCACTCACTTGACGTAATAAACACCGTACTCAGGAGACTCAATTCTCTCCCATCCTGTGGGTAAACCCTCTTTTTCAAGTGGATGCGACCAATGCGTGGTCTTAGTGTTATGATCGATGTAGTATTTTCGACCACGGAGTGTGAAGTCAACTGACCATCCAGGTGGCAAAGGCAATTCATCCTGCTGCTGCTCATTCCGAGAACTCGATCTTTCCGAATAGCATCTACTATAGCTTCAACCGAAAATCGAAACTTGAAACACTATATTTTCAACAAGTATAAAATAAGCAATAATTTTCATATTAAATCTCTTTATATTAACTAATTTTTATGTTCGTAATTATAGAATAAAAAAATTGTATCAATTTCAATGATATGATTTTAACATTATTTAATAGAGATGCTACAAATTTATAACATATTCGGCTCGAGCGGTTTGCATCAATCTAGGTTGGATTAATGACGTAAAATTATTCAATACGATTGGTTCTTGAATTTGGTTCCTTATAGATCTAAATGTATAAACCAAGCCTATCCAATTTAAGCTCGAGAGCCAAAACACGAAGTCATTGACGCAAAAAATTCAATAATATAATAGGATAAGATTTCGGGGACTGTAAAGTGTTGAAATATATCTGACAAGAAGAATACCAGGTGATGGAGTCGGGGATTTTGATGCGCTTTTTACAAGCTGCTCTTTAGCGAAAAAAAAACCGATACATGTCCGGTCGTTTCAGCCGTTGGCCCACAGTTCCGAAGAAATCGATTTTTTTAATAATTATTGTAATAATTTGAAAAATTATATAAATGAAAATATCATTTTTATAAATCTTATTTAAAAAGCTCATAAAAATCCCCGATCCCATCACCTGGTGTTCCTCTTTTGAGTAACTTAGCAACACTTTATAGTTCCTAAAAAATCTTTCCTATTGAATTTTTTTGCGTCGATAGCTTTGCGTTTTGGCTCCGGAGTTCAAATTGGACAGGCCTATAAATCAATATTGAAGAATTTTACAATAGTTGCAAAGCTGCTTTCTCTGCTGAATGCAACCATTAAAATCGTGGGAAAAAATTTGTACATTATTCACAGAACACGCTTGAGAGAAGTAAGCAGGAGAAATAAACACTACAGAAAAAATCAAGCAGGTTTTGTTGAATTTTATCAAACATTTAATATTTTCTCATTTTATATCTTATTTTATAAAGAAAGAAAATTATCCGATTTAATATACATTATCTATAGAAGAATTATTATCTGGAGCATCATTATCTTATTGTCCCAAATTGAAAAATAAAAACCAAGTGATGCTATTTTTATTAATGGTTCTTTTATATCGACTTAATTCTTTTTTATGCAGAATGACTAGAACAATAATTATATTAAAAATCGTATTATTATAATCCAATTTAAAGTGTTTTACAGCGCTCTCATTATTTCATTTTATTCAAATTGTCTTTATTTACAAATGCAAAAAAAATTAATGTGTCATTTCTCGCTTATGATATCACAATTCAATATGGGTGAGGCGAGTCCTCAGGAGTTTTAACAGAAAGTCACCTATGCGTGTTGTAATTTAAAGCAACAATAATTCAAAGCAATTCGTAATATAAAAAATAGACATGTATGAAAATATGGAAATTATAAATATGAAAATCATTCTCATACCTAGTATTATGACGATAAATGGAGTGATTATAATCTTCGTAACCGTCGACGTCGAAAGGCATGTAAGGCATCTGTGGTGTCTGGACTCTATCCAGATGGTACTCGGATCCAGCGTATTGATTGATATAAGTATGTGACATTGCGGGTGACAGTTCAGCATGGTACATGGGTGTTGCTGTCCTCGAAAACATGCCGTCATTCATTCCAGTATTAACAGATAGGCCGGCAAATCTATTATAAAAATAAAAGCATAAAATTGGAGGAATGTTATGACATTCCCTGGTAAAATTTATTTCGTTCTTTCTTAATAATTATTTCATAGTTTTATTTTGTATAAAATATTGTTGTTTAACAGTATAATTATAAAGTATTATTATGCAAAATCATATTAAATGTAAAATTCACTATTAACCTTTGAGTTAAGTCAGGAACAGAATTATTTGGTGTATATTTTCCCTCATGGCTGCCCAGACCAACGGCGCTGTTCGTAGTTTTCATATTTCCGAATTTTTGCACCATACTAGGTTGCGGAGAAATGGACTATGACACGAGAGAAGCATCGATAAAAATCAACATCTTCAGATGTCTTCTTATATGTTCAATGATTCTTGACCAGCTGCTTGGAAATTATGAGATATATCGTATATAACTTTTTCTTAGAGCTCGTCGATAAAAAATTGATATGTGTGGTGTTCTAATAATATTTTGAGACTTTGAGAAATACCTATTGTAGAAAAAAATTACATGAATTACAAATCTATATTGTAGGATTAGTAAATTATCTTTTTTATCGAATCTGTTTTAAACTCAGAATTTATGTTTTGCACAAGGATATATGCAAATATTATTATCTTATATAACAAGGATTGAGAATAAAATGTTATTTGTAACGTTACTTTTTTAAATTTAGGTCGATGAAAATAAATCTTAAATAAATTAAAGAGAAATTCTATAGGATTACTAACTCAGTGCATAATATAAAAGCATAGAAGCCAATGCAAGTTCTCAACGTGAATCTAATAATTAAAACTTTGTTTATTTCTAATTGTACAATGACCATTAAATATAAACCTTTTTGTTCTTTATTTGACCTTTATTAGGTCATCCTTTCTATACATTCTCATCCTTAGTATACAGAATTACCGTTGAGTGCATGAAATTGCATTCAAAATTATTCCGCTAGGCACATAATTATCTAAACATAGTATTCTTTTTCCATTATATGAAATCAAATAGCTACTCGTCAATAATCCGTGTACCTCAGTATATACATATGAACTAATTCTTCTAGGATTAATTAAGTAAGACGAATCTTATAGTATTTCAAATTATGGCTGAGGTAATGTTTTTCGCAATAAATTATTTGCAGATTTAAGATTCTCATTAATAAGATTAATTAAATTAGAATATTATTATAAAAATGTTGATTAGCATCACAAATTATTAAATTGCTTATCAGTTTAATAAGTAAATGATATTACTACACAGAGAGAAAAGTATTTGGCATTTGTGATTATAATATCATAGTTAAAAAATTATAGTTAGAATTAATATTTTTTGTGGACATACAATTTTCAAACTAACTGTGCGACGATTATTTGTCAATCTTGAAATAATTAAACAGTCCTAAATCAAAGCTGGAATATTACAAATTAATTGACAACACGAAGAAAAATATTTGGTCAAACTTAACTGGAATTCTGGTGGAAAATGAACGATGCAGAATTCTGGTTAAGTTTACTTCTGATTAAATCTACTAGAATTCTAGTAGATTTGATCAAAGAAATTCTGAATGTTGGTTATCTCAACTAGATTTTTAGTAGATTTAACCAGAATTCTGGATCGTGTTCATTTTTTCCATCAGAATTCCAGTTAATCAAACATTTTTCTTCGTGAATTCATTTAATATTAGTGCTGCAAAACATCTTAGAAAGCCGTTACTGATTTGATGCTAATAAACGTCTTAAAAACTATAAATAATTTATTGTGAAAAATATTATCCCATTTGAATAATATTTCGAACCTGGATTTTCTGTACTACAAAATTTATTGTGAAAAATATCTCAACTGGATTGTTTAAAAATTGAAAATTTAATTAACTCGTAATTTGTAAAACTAGATATGTATACGTATAAATTCATTCTGAAATATGCAGGAAGCTCAAGCTCCCCCCCCCCCTCTCTCTCTCTCTCAGGCTGAAAAAATATTTCCCTCCTGTTTTCATATATCGGTCTAATGTCACTGTTGTTTGTTGCTTTTATTAATATTCAAACAAAAAATATTGCAAATTTTTTTAGATTAATCTTGTTTTAACATAAAAAAAAGTAACGGTTAAAGTAACTTATTTATTTTTTAGTTATTTTTTTAAAATAATTTCCTATATAACATTACACTATAACAATTTATTGATCAATGAAAAAATTTTTCAGCAAAAGACTACAATAATCTCTTGGGAATATATGGTAAAAAATCTGCTTATACTGACAGTAATAAAAAAATTACTTTTGGCACACAAT